GCTACACTTGTACAGTTCAGTGAACGTATCAAAATCTTTATCCTAACTTCTGCTCTTACTAGCAAGTTACTGATTCATCTCAAACACAGCTCCCTCCATTAACAATTCTTTCTCTCTCCCATTCTTTACTACATCACCACTCAGTAAGGAAGTCAGAGGAACACATTTTCTATGAAAAATATTTTAATTCAAGGTTATTTTCATAATTGTCTCTTAGTAGGGAAGACAACATGGTATCAGCCATTCATCAGAAGAGCTATGGTAACAAACATTTAAGCATGAAGTACAATCTCTTCTCAAGCAAATGTAAAGTAGGACTGTGGAAAAACCTAGGAGCTCCCTGCTAAGGGACAAGATATGAGTAAGATATGCGTAATGACAAGATATAAGTAAACAGATAGTGTATGTACAATCTGGGTATGAATGGTAAACAAAAAACAATATCTTACTCAAAGAAAACAAAACAAAATCATATTTCATGTTTCATACTGCCAGAGAATTATTCCAACCCAAGGTTTTGCCCCTGCTCAGTTCCTCTCAGTCACCTGAAGACTTTTTGCTATCTTCCCATATTGTTTGTGGTGGGGCTTCTCATTACTGATCTTCATTTAAAATTCTCCTAGCTTCTGAATATCATCTTCTCTCCACCTACACAGAGCGGACCAAGCGAATCTTTCCTCCTCCTTCCTCCCACAGCAATGAAAAAACAAACCTGAGGTCACAACTGGTCGTATCTCATTCCTCCTTGGAGTCTGTCTGCACAAGCAGAGTACTCAGTCTTTCTGTAGCAGCTACACTTCTCCAAACTGTGCTAATGTCAGTCCCTGCTTTGCTGAAGCCAACTTAAATATGCACGCACCTTGAATATACTGACAGAAATATACTGAAAGAAGAGACTGTCTGAGATCTCATGTTCACATTGAAGATTTTGTATGTTCAGGCAGCATTAATAGAACAAGAGAACCTCTTCCCTAAGACTAATGCTGCAGTCAAGATATTTAAACCAACATCTCTACTCCTGGGAAACAGAGGTTCCTTGCAAAAATACAGTACATTCTAAAGACAGGTCATTTTATTTCTTTAAAAAATGAAAGAATGGTTTATTGAGCTTATTTGATACCTCAAATCATTGTGTAATGCATGTATTTTTAAAAATAATCATCTGCATTACGAAGTTTGTGACATCATGAAAGATTCTTTAAAGTATTTTTTAAACTGTCCCAGTTATATATGTGAAGACAAACTATAAAAATCAGAATGAAAGAACAATTCTTAAATTAGTACAAGGGCAGAGCAACAGCTTTTTTCAAAAATGGCTTTTATGCTGAACATGTTTGCAGTTTTCAAATTTATGGGTGTAGCTGTCAACATGTATATTCACTTTTAGAATATCGTCCTGGCTTAATGAGGTCTCCTGGAATGATTTCTTTTTATTAAAAGTTAACATGCTTATGTATCTGGTTTCCACCTTTCTACTTTTTGTTGTATCTTTCTTAAACTGCGCTACTTTTCAGCAGAGAGCTCATAGCACAGTTTAGTTTAAAACTTCATAGTGCATTCAACTACTTCAAAACTTCAAGAAACTTCCAATGAAACTTTCAAGGTACAGTAGATACTTATCTTCAACATAATAAACAACAACCTAGAAAAAACTACAAGACAACAACATTTTAGCTACAACTACATACAATCACCAAACAGTGCTACATTGTGAAAGAGAAATAAGATGTCCTGCTAGTCACCCCATCTTAGGTCACTCCCCATAGTTCTGGCTCATACCATGCCTCTGTCCACTTCTGTCTGCCTCACCATCTCTGCACCTGTCTCCAGCTTATGCTGATGCTTGTTAGGCAAGGCACAAGATTAGAGTCAAACACATACACTTCTTAGAATGAAACTGCCTGCAACGTCAGACTGCTGAGTGATGCATTCAAAGTTACTCAGTAAAAACACAGGTGCTACACAAGCTCGGAATTGTTCCATGAGACTCTGCAGGTGACTGACTCTGACAATTTTCAAATTCATACACATCCCTGCAAGAAAGCCTCATAATCATGGGTCAACCTGATTAAGACTTTTTCCTCAAAACAGCTGGAGTAGTTGTTGCTCTCTTGTCTCTTCACTTCCACTTTATCTTATCATTTATTCTTTTAGTTCTTAGGGGTTTTCAGGGTTGAAGCTGCCATGGTCAACTTGGCTAAACTGCCATAGTTCTCTATGCTCTCTCTTGGGGCTCGCTTCCTCACACCTCTTCATCATCATACCTCTCTTCAGGAGATCTTACTCTCTATTTATTTTTCTTCTATTGAACTACCCACAGGGTCTGATATGCTCTAAAGGCAATCCAATCCTCTGTAAAGGAAATGTTAAAAGGCTTTGTTACCTCAAGCCCAATTTCTTTGTCTGTACAACCTTTTATAGCAGAATTTCTCCACCATCACTTCTCTTTGAAGAGCCTGCATAACATTACATTTTTTTGAGCATAACAACTGTAAAAGCATCCTGAACAGTACATGTTCATTAATCCATATAGTACCAAGTTCTCCAGCACCCAATTCATTAACGACAGTTACAGAACCTATACTGCTTCCAGATTACATCAAAAACTTGCTAAAAAATGCAAACGAACAATGCTTTTCATGTTATAAAATAACACAATTATTTTCCTTTTTTCTTTACAATAAGTTATAGAAAGATGAAATATTTAATTGGTCAATTATTTAAAGAGAAATAGATAAACTTGTAAAAAAAAAAAAAATCTGGGAAAATGCTACATACACAGGGAAAAGATTGAAAATCTAGAAGAATGTTAATTGTTTAAGTTCCTGAAACTCCTTTGATCAACTTAATGACAAAAGCACATTCATTCCTCCCTGTGGTTCTAAGTTCATGCTAAGATGTATTGCTTTATTTCAAAATGGAAGAAGCAGAAAACACATTTCCACAGACAAAGGAGAATTTCACTTCATCATACAACAAAATCTAGAATCCATTTATTGCAGCCACATTACCCTAATCAAAGGGGTAATGCAAGTCAGCTGTACATCTTTACCATGGGGAGGCCCTTTTAAGGGCCACCTGTATGGCAGATACTGTTTGAACTAACAAAATCAGAAACAATTAGCTCACTCAGATAATTCTTTTTAGTGCCCAACTCTACAGTACTATGGAATGAGGAAATATTTTTTCAAATGTATCATGCATTTTACATTTTCACAAGGCCAAGGCCATTTCAAATATAGATTCCTACTGCAAGTCTTTTCTCGTAAAGAAGGCTTTGGGTAGTTTTGTTTTGGGTGGTTGTGTGCATGTTGATTCCCCCCCCCCCCCCCCCCCCCCGCAATACAGAATAAAAAATGCAAATAACAGTATCAATGTACAAGCATTAAATAGGAAAAACACCCCTAATTTTTAGTTCAACTTCATATACTTCTGCTCATTTACCTCAAAAATAGAGATGGGTATTGTTCGGTCACAGTGAACCCCGTGACCACAGCCCATCATTAAATATATTAGCTACAGTTTCCACTTCAGCACCAAGTGAAGTATCACCTTATTACACTTTGTGAATTTCCACAAGCCCTTAAAGTTATTTTTGACATCTTTGACTCTGATCCTGCCAACGCTCACACATATTATCTTGAGCAAACTGAAATGTATAGCATTACGCATGTGTTTGTTTGTGTGCTGTGCATCATATAAGGAATGAGGACTTCATTAATCGTTTGGTACAGAAGTGAACCCCTTTGGATGTTAGGCATATGGGCTAGAAATTCTCTCCAGTGGCTTATTATCCATTGTTGTTCCAAGTGTTAATATCTCTTTTAAAATTCTTTCCTTACCCTTCCACCCTCCTACACACATCACCTCCTTTACATTCTCCTCAAATGTCTAAAAATAACTAACTATGCATATGGTCTGAGCACCACAGCCCTATACCATGTAACTGAGGAGAGAGTATTTTAGTTTGAATAGCTGACCTCACATCCATCATCAGAGATTTTTTTTTTTTCCATGAATTACGTTCCAGAGCTCAAACAATCAACACACACCATGGATTTGGCAATTGCACAGTTCTCTAACAAATTAAGCTTTGGGGGTAAATAAATAAAGTCTGTGAAACCTGTGCATGTATTTTCTCCCACCTGCTTCCTCTTGCATGGTAAAAAGATTTCAAATTAAAAGTTTATTCTCTTTCAAGTTGTTTTTTTGTTGTTGTTGTTGTTTTCACATTAGAAATTTTCTGCTGGCGTTAATAAACAACAACAAAATCCAAACTTCTGATCCCCCTTGGGAACACATCAGCCTACCCTATATTCAGGAACACAAGAATAAGAACTCATTCATTTAGTCAGTTTCAGCGACCAGGAACAGAACTGGTAGCACCTCATTCAACATCCCCTGTTTTTTATACCATCATGCTTGTTGTAAGTAATGCTCTACTGTGCCCCTTCTCTTTCCCCAAGTAGTCAGCTAGTACAATGGAAGGGGAAGCTGAAATATGTTTGTGAAAAGTGATGTTTCAACTTAGCTCAGAGCAAGGAGAAATGCAAGAAAAGAAAGCTGTACACCTGGGTTGATGCATCTCCCACAGGACTAGAGAAATGCCTCCAGGATTACTGCCTGTTAAGGAAGTCACAGTCTATTTTCACACCACCTAAGAGGCATGGTATTTTGGATAAAGAACAATCATTTTTACTTAGACACATCCTCCACTGTGAAATTCTAACTGTGCAAATTCAGTGGCAACAGCAATACAAATACCTTCTGTGGGTCTCATTCTACAAAATGCTCTGCTCCAATTCTGCTACCTACTATAATCAGGTCTAGAAATATAGACTGCAGTTACCATAATTCAAGTTTGAAGATCAGTAAGCACAACTTAGTACTTGAAAATAAAGAGACTCAAATTTATAAAAGACAATAGAAAAAAAGGCCTTTCCACACACACCAAAGCTTATGAACCTAAGCTAAATGCATGTATAAACAATTTCACTTACCATTTGTGACTAATTCACTCTGATGCATATGCCTCCTCCAAACACACCACCAGTCACACCCAGAGCACACAGCTGTAACATGGGCATGCTCACTAGCTCTTATGAGCTCCAGTACCTCAGATCCTGGGGCTTATCAGTAGCAGTTGACGGGTCACTCCAACCTTTTCAGGAGGCAAAGGGTACAGGGGCTGCTCAAAACCTCTTTTGCACAAGGTCTGCTGAAAGAGGGGTCTCCAGGAGATACTGTGGTAGGCCCTCACCTTTTTTCAAGCTTCATCCACAGCAAGCTCCCTCAGCAATGCTGTTTGGTAGGGCTGCACTGGGCAGCACAGAAACAGAGCTGGGAGGAAAGAAGGAGAGAACTGTGAGCCACATGTGGCTTCTGTTCTCCTTCCCCTCAGATAAGGGTCACACTCCACCTCCTGGGGATGGGACTGAACCCTCAGGGCTACTCCTACCTGTCCCTGCTGTTTGGAGGGACTGCAGCTCACCATTCAGCTTCTCTCATGTCCCTGGCCTGTAACCAGCTCTTGTCACCTCCTGTTCCCTCTCACAGGGTCATTACAACCTAATACATTGTTCGTGTCCACACGTGAGAATGTTCTGGAAAGTCTCATAAGGCCTCCAGTGTTGGCTTGAGCCAGCCCTGGGGTTCCCTCAGGGCAGCGGGTGCCCAGCTGCACACCTTCCTTCACCACAGCTTCTCTGTGCCACCATTAGGCATTAGGGCTTGCTTCCCTCAGGAAAGCAAAAAGCCAGGGCCACCTTTCTGCTCCAGCTACTCCCTTAATGGGAAATAAAGTCTTTTTTTTTTTTTTTTTTTTTTTTTTGGTGTGGGAGTTGAGCCCAGACCTGTCTCCTCCACAGCTGGCCTTTTGGCCAATTCTCCCTCAGCTGGACTCGGAGGTCCCACCTGCCTCCTATCCCAAGTCTGCCCAATTGCTGCCCTGGGCACAGCTAAGAGGCAGCGGCCTCTTCTCACCGCCAGGCTCAGCCCCTCTCAGGCAAACTTGCCTCTCGGGCCTGCTCCCAGGGCAGCGGCCCTGTGCCTTCAGCCTCACCTTAACGTACCTGAGCGGTTCCCATGGAAACTCTGGGCTCACACGAGTGCCTAAACCAAGCATATGCTTAAATGTTGAGGAAGCTGCAGCTTCACATGGAAACCACAGTTTAGCTTTTTACCATAAAGTTTAAGGGAATAATCTGTATTTTTAGTGTTCATAATAAAATTCTGTTTTGAAAATGCGGCTCACTAGTGGATAGAATTTTCCCAAATTGCTTAAAAGATTAATAAAATAATCATCTTAGCAGAGAGGGAAAAAAAAAACACAAACTATCCCTGTAAGGAAATCACTTTATTGCCTATACATGCGAATGAGCTGGTTTAATACTCAGGTTCACTGCCTCCTCTGCATTTAATCTCTTTCCTTTTATGTCCTACTCTGATTTTTTAAAAGACTTTCAGGCTTTTTTAAAATTAATTATACAAATCATTAGTATTAAAAAGGTAATATAATGGTTTCAAGAACAAGCTTCACAGACTATCTGCATATTTAATCATCTCTGCTAATAAATTTTTAATCACTCATTGAGTTCAGGTTCTTGTCTTGAAGCTTAACTTGATAACAAACCTAGCAACTGGTAGAACTAATTGGTACAGAGCAAGTGAATAATTTATAAGAGGAAAAAGCACTGGGTGTTCTAGAGGTGTGCAGAGACCACAAGTCACAGATATTTCTGGGAGGTAGCAGGAAAACAGTGGCTGGCAACAGGAATTTTGTGATACGCTGCTGACATCCAGAGGCCAACAGTCAATACTGTTCACGTATGTGAACCGGGCTGTAAAGCATGCTGTAAAGTCAGATTCATTAAGTTTTAAATATTCATGCATTTCATTAAAGTTAACATTAATTGCACTACCATACACATTGATTATGCATAGACCATAAGTGTTTAACCTCTGAAAGCTTGCGAGTATGTTCAAGTAATGGGGTATGTCCCATATTCAAGGATTTCAGTGAAATCTATGGCTACAAAGTTTACATTAAAAATTAAATGCATTGCAGTACTAAAGAATAGTAGTTCCAAATATCTAAACAGTAATAATTATTTTTACTAACCAAATAAAAATTGATGTAAACTACATGTTTATTTGTATTATAGGTTGCTTTTTAAAATAAAGTGATAAAGGTAACAAAAACTATATGAGACTTACTAATAAATGCTAGATCGATTTGCAAGCTACATATATTAAACAGTTAAAACTTGGAATTTGTGGCTGAGTAGCTTTAATTTAGGTGAGGATGACTACCTTCTAAACAATATAGCACCAAAAAAAAAAAAAAAAAAAAAAAAAAAAAAAAAAGCTATAAAGCTATTCCCTTAAAATAAGTTGGTTTGTATCTTAAAATTAAATGCCCCAAGTCTATTTACACTGCAGAGTAATTCTACCCCCAGGGTAGCACAAAATGCTACAACTGTGTAACCGGAATGTAACAGACAATATTTGACAGAAATGCAATTATTGAAAGACCCCACTTCTAGTTAGTTACATATGTAATCCTCTTTTATTTAATGGGTTAAAGCTCTCTCAAAACATTTAGTTTGATGAACTGAAGGCTCGCTACATGTCAAAAAATTCATTAAGTGACTTAATAAGATTGTTATGTTAAAACATTCAGAAGTTTAAAAATGTCATTTAATGTAACCTTAATTCTGGCTGTATATGTATATGTATTATGAAACACCAATGAATTAACTTTTAATCTCCTTTGAGCCAAAAAGATTTTGATTGGAAACTAAGGCACAAAGGGCACGGCCAACAAATACAATGGCAAACTTCAGAGCAATCTCTAAACTAGCTCACATCTTGAAGAGCATACCCCTGCAGGGCTAATTACCCCAGATAAAACGACGTGCTTGCAGTTACACTGCTTCTGGTATCTCTGCATGTCAAGCTTATCTCTTCCTGGTACTGCACTACACAGATATACTCACAGAAGCCTAAAATTTTAAATCAGAAGAAAATATGGAGTGTTTTTCAAACTTGGTTGCTTTGACATTGATTTTTCCCCAATTAGTTTAAGGCTATAGATTCTGACCTTCCCAAAAGTAAAAATATATTTCCTTCTTATGTAATAAATAAATAAATAAACCTTTCCAAATATCAATTGCAATTAAAAAAAAAAAAAAAAGTTCTTAAATCCTCTATGAGCTAGATATAAAATTGTCCATATTTTATAGAGAAGCAACTGTTAAGAGACAGATAGACCAGTCTGCCCAAAATAGTACTGATTTTCTCCCTGAGCTGTTAACAACTCCTGATTAGCCAATTTTCCTTGTGAAGGTGGGCTCCAAAGTGTAGTATTACTAATTACAAGCCACAGTAACATACTAAAATTCTGTTTAAACAGCATTGCTTATACCCTTAAAGAACTTTATGTTCAAACATATCTTGTGTAATATAATAAAAAACCTCACCATTTTTCTGACAAGAAAATACTAGTTGCTAGCAAGGATCTTTTAAGTCATATATCAACCACCCGTACCATTTAGCATGTTTTAAAGTAGTATGAAATATCAAAGAGGTTTTTCTGGGGTGTGGTGTATTGTTTTGTTTGCTTGTTTGAAATTAAGACTATTTCCTCCATATTTCTTCCTTCTTTAATACTGAAATGAAGCAGTAGCCTGTTAAGTGATTTACACACCAGATTATATTAGTTTAACTGTTTTGTTTTTCTAGGGCATAGTCATAATCAACCAAACAGTTCAGGAAATGTATGCAGATTTTGAAACCCTTTCAAATGTCCAAAACCCATGCTCATTAAGCAATACTTCATTATACATGTTGTTTTTTGTTTGATGGTGGGGTTTTTTGTTTGTCTGTTTGTTTTTGTGTGTGTGTTGTTTCTTCCTATTTCACTCATGAAAACTGAAAAAACAGGTGAGGATTCTTGATGGCTGATGTCCTTCCAGTACATGACATAATCCTCATATTTACCTTTTCAAAGGTGAAAAGGTACTCACTGAGTGGTTAGCTTCACTACCAATGATAGCGGCAAATACAAGTAGATGGCAAAGTTTTCACATGTCCAAGCAGACTAGAGTATACAACTCAATTCATTTCTTGGAAAATGATCTAAAAAACAGGGATGCAGAGGAGAAAATTCCTCCTTACTCTATACCATCTCTGAAATAATACAAGACCTCAGAAGTAATCCCATTGCTAAACTAAATCTGAAGAGGCTTTAATTAAACTACATTTTTGTAATTACAATTTGAAATTATATTCAAGGTTTAAGAGTTAAATTCATTAGACTGTGAAGAGTTTTACAAGGCATTTCTAATGTAATGAGCTCAGACACCACATATGTTGCATCTTTGGTACACGTTATGAAGAGTTGCTTTTTTAATGAGCTTTAAAAACTGTATTTGCATACCAGAGGAAAAGGTCAGTGATGTGTGGATCAAGTCAGTAAATTAAGTATCACAGCATTACGTTATTATGATTGCCTTCCACAGGCATACAATAACTAAACTATAGGCTGTAGTTACCATACTATTCTAATGCACCCATCTATACAACCTTGTCAGCTTATGTGCACTTGCGATGCTGTGTCTTGGGTCCATCTTACAAAGTCCTTCACCCAGGCTTCTTTCGCCTTCTTTCTCCACCAGTTCCAACAGCAGAACAGCTGGTGTGTCTGACAATCAGAGAATCAAAGCAATCAAAGGACAGAGGGGCCATATTTAGCATGATGAACTATCTCTAACCACTACTTTCCATTACAGCCTTTACCTCAGGGCCAGGTCCTGAACCCTCATAACAAGATCAAACAAAGAGAAACAGCAATCATCAGGACAGGGAAACAACTTTCATTCCGAGCCCCATTTCACTTAAGACTTTGTACAAGAATGCAGCACTATCATCCCTCTTTCAAAACAGATACCAAAAGTATTTTTAATGCCACAGTCCAAAATTTCACTCACTCTACCTTAATAGCTACCTCTTTATAGTTGGAGTGTTAGGTATTTTGTAATCCCTAAAGACTGTTTAACTGGTAGCTATTCTGAAATGTGTCACTCTGTGATAAATAATAAAATAAGCCAAGAACCAACTGCAGATAGGCTCTAGCCAGTTTTTCAGCAAGAGTAAAGTTCATTGGATTCACCTTTATTTGTTCATTTTAAGGGCCACTGAAGTTGACTCCCTTCTCAGCTCTGAAACAATCCACAGCACTTAACAGGTCTGTGTGTGGGCACGTGTTAGAGACTGTAGGTGTATGCTATAGGTGCACATACGTAGGTGTACCATTTTATGCATATTTATACATATCACAGCCAAGTGACACCCCACAGCTCTGTGTAAAGGTGTCAATCTAGTCATTAGATAAGAAAAAAAAAAACTTTTAAAGTATTACAGCAGAAATTGGACAACTCAATACAGTGGATCAGTTACAAGCAGCTTTAATGATTTTTCACTTTTTGTATGATTATCCTCAAAGTAGCATTCAAAAATATAGTGCAAAATATTTATTCATTTTATTTACAAATAAAATGTGCAGTTCAGCCTCTCCTTACCACAGTAAATATAATTCTTCCATGTGATGAACAGAAATTACGAGAAACATTTGAAAGACAAATTTCATTTTAAACCCAAGAACAATCAGTTATATTTTTGTAGAAGTTGCACAATATTTTTTTTAAAAATTGTTTTCAGTTGGGAAAAAAAAGAAGAAGAGTCCAGGCAACACTAAAGAATTACATATGAAATAACGTTTTTTAAAACATAGTTATTTTGCTTTGACAATCACAATGCAAAATTCTTACCTATACAGGTTTTTATTTTTTTTTTAATTTGGTAACTAAAACTTAGAATCTTTACAATGTAATGCTTTTTCACTTCTTACTATAGAAATTGCCTTGAGGGAAAAAAGTATTCTAGTATCTTCCTCTGCCTTTGATGAAAGAACAGATGCTTTGGTTAAAGAGCAATTCGTGCGCAATAGTGTTTTAACTTGCAAGGCAGTACTCCTTTATTAAGTTGGTAGAATTCCACTAGCTGGATGAGATCAGTAAATCTGGTCTGACCATCATCAAGGGTATAAAATAGCTTTCCATCATCTTCCAACTGTAAAAATGGAAAAACAAAATAACATCAAATCCTCTTTTGATATGGTATTTCTTCATGATTAGAATACTTGTTTGAGAAATCTTCATGGAGAACAAGGTATTGATAATCCTATGACTACGGAGAGAAGGGAAAATAAGATCAAACATAAAAAGATCAAAAATAAAGAACAAAAATCATGTATTCTTTATCTTTCTCTCTAAGACAGATACATGCCTAAAAGGAAGTAATAGTTTAGTAAGTAACAGAATACTCCTTTATTTTATGACTTTGCTCTGGAATGATAGCTAGAGTTAATATAAATATGGAGCTTTTACAAAATGACAACAAACAAGCTGCAACTTACTCATAGGTTTCACCTTTTGCTCAATTCACTATTCTGCATAACTTCTACATTTTATATCACTTATTTTTTAAGGTGCAATGTGGCTACACACTAGTGCATTGGTGTACTGGATGAAACTGTCTATCACAAAAGTAACATGCTAGATGTAGTAATATGTTGTGTAGGAGAAGGAACTGCTGCTGCTCCAAATGCACGTGCTAGAATAGATACAGGAGAAAAAGAAGAAATGCCAAAATATACCTTGAAAAACAACCTGTTCTAGATTACTGAACATTAGGTCTTGCACAATCTGTATTGCATTGCTACTACATACTGTTCTCAATGCGTTTCCTCTTCTGTTGAAGAATAAATTTAAGATATCAAGTTCTCTAATTTTCACAGTATGGGATCTCAAGTGTTTCCCAAAGATTTTCTTTCCAGCTTTTAAAACTCAGTTCCCTGCTACCTACCTCCAATACTTGTTGTACGTTACCAGTGTTAACACGACACATGTATTAATGTAGGTGAAACGATCTAGCAGGGTGTACACCCTGCTGGGGACATTTTCAACTTGAAGTAAACTAAATATAAGGGGGAAAAATCATTGAGAGACTGCATTTTTCTACTTGTTAAAAAAATCTGAAGTTCTATTTCTTTATTAACATTGAGAGGGAAAGTTTATCTTTCCTTCCCCATGGAGGGAAAAAGGCAAGGTTTTGGAAGAACAGTAAGATCTCAAGTTCCAGAAGGTAACCTTGATCTCCAACTAATATGCTACAAACTTACTGCAGTAGCACAAAAAAAAAGTCTCAGTTCTTAGAATTCTTCATTTAGAAAATCATCAGCAATTGGAAGCATAACTTTTTTCTCCTCAAAAATATTTTTCTGAACTCCTTAAAGAGTATTGTTTAATTAAAAACCAAGCAAGCAGTAAGTCAGCATACTGGACATGGCATAAGGGGATAAGGAATTGAAGGCTACTGGAAGTTACTTTACAAAAAGGAATTGAAACATGCATATATATGGAGAAATAACAGTTTCCGTACTCACATTCTCTCTCTCTGGATTAAGTTGTACTCGTTGCAGATTTCCGGCCTCCCCCCCGCTATCCCCTACCCCCCCCAATAACTAGCATGGGATAAATTGCTTTACAAGAACAATCAAATTTTCCTTCAAATCAGACAATTTTTACATTAAAGTGATACAGGTCTTTCAGACCTCAGCTCTGAGATACGATCTGTAGACTGTCAAAACAGATTCCCCATTTCTCCACAGGTCCTACATCAGGAGAGCAAAGTTTTAGCAGGCACATGTATAATTAATTCCTCAAATGCACTGCTTGCACCTGCAAAAGAACACTAGAATTGACCAGATCATTTTTTTTTTTTTAAGTGAAGAGAAGAATCATACAGGTCCATAGCAAACTGAAGACAAGTGCAGCTTCCTGCCACATCTGCTCTTAAAGAAAAAAGGGTCTGTTTCCTGATAAGAAAAAGTGGTCTCTTGAATTTGAGACTTACATAACATCCTAATGAAGCAGAGTCATACACTATTTGTACAGAGTTCGGAAAGGTTTCTAAACCATACAACAGCTATCCTAAAGTAAATACAAGAAGCGACCACAGTCAACAGAAACACAGAGATCTTAAACCTGGGATTCTGATCACTGAATATATGCTGACACTCACAAAGGAACTAGGGCATAGCTGTCACTTCTGGATGAAGGGCTCTTGCAATGCTTGTAATTAATGAAGCAAAAATCCTGGACAATTCTTTTACCTGACATTGATTCCCTCATTTTCACATTACAAATAATGCAAAAATGTTTCAGTCTTATTCTACAGGAAAGTTTTGTTTTTGTTTTGTTTGTTTTAAAGCCCTAGATAAGGAATAAAGAAATTCTGTGAATCGACTACATACATTTCTCCTGAGAAACAGCAGAATCTCCCAGATACTTCAGTAGGAATAAACAGAGGCTCAAGTATTATTTGGTTTGGAAGAAAGGTTCTCATCAAGGAAGAAGAAAAAGCTATAGGTATTCTCTACTCTCAAGCATCTGTGGCTAAAACAGATAATGTTAAACCCTTTCTTTCCTCAACAGAAGAAATCTGTAAAGAAAACTGTATAAACCTCCTCTGGAGGGAGTGGAAAGTATTGGGAAAGCCAGCCATTCTGACAGTAGAATTGGATTATATCATCAAGGAAAACTGATGAAAATATGACTTCAATTTAGGAAATTTCAGCTTGCCTGAATGTAACTGAATTAAATAAACATATCAGTTTTTTGTTACAAACATCCCCCTGAAGAAGGCAAGGACATGAATATACCACAACAGCATAAATCATGAAAAGAGGAAAACAGAAGTGTTTGACCCAAAATAAAAGTGAGAAACTTTTAAACAGATGATTCAGCGATACGCACACGCAGAGGTCATGGGCAGTCCACCTAAGCTGATGACTAAAAAGAAAGGACAATATAACTTTCATTAAAACACAATTTTCATGCCATCATGGTTGCTTCTATTCCAGTTCCAACAGATTTGTGCATTTATTCAAGGCGATTTATAGGTAAACAAAAACATAGGATTACATAGTACTAGTCAAGCTTTATAATAAATCAAACAGCAAAGCTCAAAAATGTTCAACTTTAGAATATTTATGATTCATAGCAACATAGCGATACAGGTATCAGGTATTATGTTTATTATCATCTGTATAGCAGGGAAAAAAAAAGAAGAAAAAACAACTACAAACTATAACAATTATTTGACTGTATTGGCTTACAACAGTATATTGAAAATTTTACTTACGGGTACAATTTGAAAATGCTTTATTTTTAATCCATGACTCAATGACAATACAAATGTCTTGGGGTTACTTTGGCTATCACGGACCAAGAATACCCTAAAAGAGATTGAAAATTTTCACGTTAAGGTCACTCTGGAAAGCTTTGGAAATACCCAGTTAAAACTGTTGTACATTTAAAACAGTAAGTATTGTGAGAAGCAGAGATAATCTTAATTACAAAAATTATGCTTTTAATCATTATTTCTTTGAAAATGTGTCACTTGAAATACTTTTCTTAAATTCTTCTTCACCTTGTCTATTATGTGAAAAATATGCATTTTCAGAATGAATGACACTGTAGGCGTTAGTTTTACACTGCATAGAATTACAATACATCTCTTCAGACAGAAAAGCACTCTCAAAGTTTGTGCTTTGAAGAAAATTTTTCCTTGGACTCTGACAGTCACCTAAATCACAAGTTTTATAGGGAAAACTTGAAAGGATGTTCAACAGGAAGTTTACAGAAAAGGTAATGCAAGGCATACCAGAATACTTTCCACATTTGGCCCATATTCGTAAACGTACACTCAAATCTGCACACTGATAAAATTCTCACGGAGACAGAACTACAGTCTATATATTACAGCGTAGTTACTGATAACACTGTCAATGGCCAGCACCGTCACTGCAAGTAGTTCACTGATTCCAACCAGATTATAGACATAGTTTTGCCATAATCCTGGTACGATCATCTGATGCAGATGAAGAATGAATACTATTTCATTGAATCACTGAGTTTGGACTACTGGCAGAGAAGAACAATTTCGAGGACAAAGGGAAGTACCTGATTCACAGCTTTGTAGTGGAGAGACTGAACTGTTTGTACTATGCAGGTCTGGAACAGGTATAGTTAAATGTATCACAAAAGGGAAATGGAGGGACAGTCATTGGCAAGAATTCTCCTCTTTCAGGAGTAAAAACAAATGGGCAAAGTAGACTTGCAGGTGTCAACCAAGTGAGTGCTAGTCTCCTCTTTTGTCCAACCATCTACCAGGAATGAGAGCACAAGAACTCAACAACTGTATGAAAATCAAGGATTTTTTTTTTTTGGGGGGGGGAGAGAAAAAAAAAAAAGAAAAGACAACAAAGTCTTTCAGCGAATTTTCACAAACTAACAACAAAGATCCAAACTACTGGGTATTCATTTCATCCTCAAAATTTTAAGAGTTTTATTTTTACAACAGAAGTAAGAAAATACCTGGAATTAAGAAATTTGGAGTCCATAATCATTCGTATTTCTATCAAAAAAACATTTATGTTAATTCTGAATTCTGATACTAATTCAGTTTTAAAAGATGGATAATTGTCAGCCCCGCATATGGCTAGGAAAATAAGGAAAATAGTTCCCAATACACTCAGACTCTCCTAATCAGCTCTCTCTCACCACCTAGTGGCCTCTCCCCCCTTTCCAGGACTTAATTTTTTCAGAGTAGTCATCCCTTGCATGAACTTAAATCTTTTTTTTAAGTTTGTCATTAAGACCTGGTCTTTTTTTAATTCAGGAAAAAAAAAAAAAAAAAAGACAGTATAAGAATGTGACACTTTCCCAATATACAAAATGAGTTCTCTAAACCCAAATATGGTATGGTGATCCACATTAAGCAATACACAAAGTAATGACATAGCATAGAAAAGAAAATGTATGTCAATTAGGATTTATGTTCCCATTTATCATTTCTTTTGAAGCCTACTTTCCTACTTTTTTATTGTTTGTTTGGCCAGGAGAGATGAGCAACATTTCTTCTCCTTCACATAAAAAAGATCTTTATTTACTCTTTCCTAACTCTATCCTAACAGAACTACTTTAGCCATCGAAGAACCTTTTAAAACATCATTTTATTACAAAGAAAGGACTGTACTTCATAGAATCTTAGGAGTATTGGTTGGAAGAGAGCTTTTTAGACATGCTGGATGATTCAAAAAAACCTGTTCCTTCATAAACATATAAGAAATTCTCTGAACAACCAATTGAATTTTGTCACGACCCTTTTGGTAATGTTATTATCCAATTCATCTGTTGAGTATCAATTAGTTTCCAATCCTGTCAACCACTTATCACTGAAAAGTCTTCAAACATAGGAGGGTGAAGTACGAAATCTGCAATGTTGCTACACAAATGCCTTTAAGCATGTTTCTTCTACATCTGAACAGTAGATCTGAAAATATTATTCCTTCGTAGCACACCCTGAAAGATAGTTGTTGTCTGTAATTCTGTCATTAAGTTATTCTACTACTAGGAATTCTGCAGATTCTTTATTCCTTTATGTAAGTCCCTTCACCTTCCATAAGCCATCAAGAACAGTGCATTTGTTGGTACATATGGTATTACAGAGGCCCTATCACCTGCTGTCATACATACAAGAGATTGCCCTGCTTGGGATCATTTTTCTATCTCTAAAACACCTTAAAAAGCTCAGCCTGTTTTTTTTTTTCCCCAGCAGAAACTAAAATCTTATTACTCCCATGAAAAACTTCTGTATTTATGGTGCTAATTCATTCTTTCAGCCCTTTCTTTTCTTTTAAAGAGCAAAGCATTTGTCACAAGATGTAATGTATTTGTGTCTTCATTGTATCTCAGGAGTATGCCAACATACGATTGCTCATGTTCTAATCAATTCTAAACAATCCACTCAAGAGCATCATCCTCACCAAGATCACCATGTGTATCTGTGAATAGATCCAAGAATATACCATAAACAACACTATATTAAGCAAATATTTCTTAATACCTAGCATGATATTCACTTTCTCATCTCAAATGCTATTGCTGCTTATTCCCCAGGTCTACTTGGCTTCATTTAACAATATCTATGTAGCCACTGACATACACTGAAAGATTCATCAAGTCCAAGAATGACATACTGCTCATACATACATGTAGATCATCCCCATGTCCCATCTCTCTCTTGGAACAAATGCAAAAATGAATGCACAGTACAGAACATTTTCAGGGTGATTGCCCAGGCTTAAAAACAATACCCCTGAAATTTAAAAAATAAAAAAGTCCAAATGTCCGTCCTTGCTGAGTATGGTTATCTTTGTCTTCCCTTCCTTCCCGTCTTTTTTCTTTGTTTTCTAGAACCCTTTCCACAGATGTAGAAAACAGTATTAAAGTACGCTTAATCTAAAACTGAAGGAATTTAACCAGTTACCTGGCTACAGGTACCTAACTGGAAACAGACTGAGAGAAATGCACAAGTTTCATGGAATAAGTCACTGAATAAAAAAGGCCCATGTGTACATTTAATACAGCATTAGGGACAAAAAAACAGAAATGAAAAATAAGATTTGAACATTAAATACATACCTGGTCATTTTTATTTGAATTGATATTTAAATGACAGAAAAATAAACATGAATAGTCTTACCCTAGTATTTATTGTTTACCATTAAGGGATAGTACAATTCTTACTCATTTCACAAGTAAAAGCTTTTTTTTTTCCAATGGTTATCCCTGCATAGTTCATGTTGGAATAAGGTTAGGCAATGTTTTTATGGTTTCCTTCATTCTTTCATCACTAATAAGAGACACAAAAAACACTGGTGCCAAAATTGACAGTTCACAGAGAATATTGTGCAAATACAGAGCTCAAGTGCTTGGCTCTGAGTGGACACAAGTAATCTGTCAGTGACAGAATCAAAGTGTTAGATCACCATTTTATTGCTTCCAGAAGACATAAAATAGAAACCAACTGATCCCCAGATAGCCCTATATAAAAGACATTTTATTTCTATTAGATAAGTGCAAAATCTTTCTTCCTCTGTCTCCCCCCGCAATAAAAAGTACATGAAAATAGCAGTTGTTGACTAGAAATGTGTCTCTGAAGAGTTATGTAAAGAATTAGCTTACCCATCTACAAGTCCGTGCTGCAAAATAAGTCTCTGAGCTTCATCTCTAGAGATTTTATGATGAAACCAAGACTGAGATCTGTGTATAGCTGTAGAAATAAAGATCTTTAAAAAACATATTGAATTTATTGAAACAACCAACTATTGCATTTTTCTGTACTGAATTAACTCACACGTACCCATGTTAGACATGGCAATAGGACTACCATGTGAGTTGAGTCGCAGACACCCTCTCCTCTGTGTGAGAGAAAAGTAAAGATTATTTCAAATCTTTTTTGTTAAAATCAAAAAAAAAAAAATGTACTCTGATAAAATGCTTATACCCGCCATGCTAATCCTTCTTCAACTGCAACTGAAAGGACTTCCATTGGATTTTCTATAATTCTGCTTCTGTGTCCTGAGAAATCCATTGCTACTAAAGAATTTTCTGAAATACTTCTCTGCAACAAAGAAAAATACATTTAGTGGTTGAGTTTTTTGTTTGCTTTTGTTTATTGTTTTGTTTTTAAGATCTGTGTTTTAAGAATGAATTTCTGAGAAAACATTTTAAAAATGGTGTTTCAAATATCTGCAGCATTTCCCATCACAGCCAAACTCATTACACCCTAGGGAACATTTGTAACTCCTGTATTCTACTATAAAACTCAATTTTACAGTTTGGCAGGACAAATCATGTCTTTGCATTACTGTGATGGACAACAAATACATCACTTTATCATAAATTCTATTTATACTTGTAACTATAACTATCCTTTTGCATGTTTAGGATAAGTTAGGACAAGCTAGGATACTTTTAGAAAGTTGTCCAAGTACCAGAAAAAAAGAAAATGCAAAATTATTATGCATAATCATCTTATAAACGAAGATTTGAATTATTTTGCTATGGCATAAATTCATGCATCTTATATATAAAGTTTTGCCCAAAGTTTACCAGATTTAACCACTGGAAAAAAGCCATTTCTATGGAGATTAAGTTTTATCTTACTTTTACTTCCCTTCAAGCTCTTAACTATCACAGAATGAGCACAGACTTAACAGTTATGGAATCTAATACTTTAAAAAAAAAAAAAGTTTGTCTTTTTTCCTCATAGTAAAAATTGACTTTGTAAAAACAAAAGAAAAAGCATTTCAAGCTTGACAAAACAGTCATAAAGCTCAAAACAGTTGCCAGAAACCCAAATTTATAAAACCAAGTTTAATACCAACTGTCATGTCTCAAACGTTCACTGGCACTGGTAGATCAAATAATTAAAAGAACACTCTAGTGTTCTGTAAGTGCAAGTAACATCTAGAACATAGGAGGCACAGAGTTCTGTAGAGTTAACAAAACTACTCAGTCCAAAACCTGTTTAGCTCCTGTTTAGTTACAAGCAGATTCTTCTAGCATGAATATAACTTAAAATGGAATCATAGTGCATTGTAACTGTTGACACTGTAGTCTAAAGTGCACCTGAGTAACTGTAACCTGTAAAGAACTTTGCAAAAGTAACAGAGAAGGGTAAAGAAAGAGAAATGGTGTTTCTCTAGGAGAGTGCAGGAACTCCTTGCAGATGACTTGGTTGTGAATTATTCAGAAATGAAAGTGATTCCTCTAAGAAGTGCATACATTAGCTTAAGCACTTAATTCCTGAGTTTAATTCACCAGTTATACACAAGTACAAAAAATGTACCAGGCTTAATACCAGTTATAGATTCCGCCTGCATTAGAATTTACATGAGCTATATGCATGCAGCAGTGTAAGAGGAGAGAGAATCAATAATAGCTCCCAGACCCATTATAAAGGCAGCAGCTGGCTATCGTTAGCTTCTTATTACAGACAGTAAAAACATGGTCAGTATATTAAGTGCAATTTTGAAAGCATGCTTATTAGCAATATCATAAAACAGCATTTTTGTGAATATCCATAATGACAAATGTATATCTTAGGTGCTTTAACATCAAGAACTACCATAAATGCTCAAACACCATAAAATCATCATCACAAGTTCTGGAAACAAGCAGTTTTCACCCAGTTTAGCCAATGAAAAACACGAAGTGATATAGTAATATAAATCACTCACACACAAAAAAAAGCTGAAATTAAATGATTCAAAGAACTGGGATATATATGTGTGTGTATATATATATATATATATATATATATGTGTGTATATGTATGTATATATACACATATATATAGATATATGGGATATATAAATATAAGATATATTAAAGAAAAGGACAACCTGATCCCCAACTATCTGACTAAGGAGATGGACACAGCATCCAATATAGGGTGCTGTTCCTCCTAAACCTAAACTTCTGCCAAGTTATGGTGTTCCTCTAAAGTCCATTCAGTACTACATCAGATGAAATCCAAAATAAGTATTAAAACACTTTTGAGGGGAAAAAAAAAAAAAACACTGTATACTGAAAAGGATTTGTTAAAGCTTCTGTATTCATCCTTTACAGCATGTGTGACCTTAAACACTTTTCTTCTTTTTTAATGCATTTATGTCTCCTTCACTTTTTAAATCCTTTTTTACATTCTCTTTGACAGTGATAATAAGCCAGTAAACTCCCAAAATACTGAAGATTTGACAAAGGGGAAAAAGTCTCTTAAATTGGTCTAAACTACTCATTTTGTATTAAGTAAATTAATTAACTAGCTCTCTAGCCTGTCCTGAGGTCCCTAAAGATTTCAGCAAGCATTCACACGTACAAAGATTTGCAGGATCAGGTCAGTAGTGTAACTGACAGAAGTCACTTAAAAATAGCATGATGGCAGAAACAAAGTATTTATTCATGGAGCTACTGTGGGACATACCATGGGTGTTATATTCAAAGGGCTGCAGCCACTTCTACCTTGATATGGTTGCATGTAATTCTGATACAGCTGCATCCCATACTAAAACCAGAAAATAAGATGGTTAGCATTTTAAACTATAGACCTAAGTCAATAAACCTTTCTTACTTGCCTTTGTTTTTATTTTTTTCTTAATCATTAAAAAGCAGGGACAAATGCTGGTAGGATAAGGAAACACACAACAATGTCATTGCTGTTGCCTTCCTAAATGTATACTCTGCATTAAATTCTCACTATTTAATACACTGACTAACATTGTTTTGTCACAGACACTTTTTAAAAATATTTTTAAAGTTCCCATCTTGTGTATTCTTGTAGTTTTGTTCAACATCACCAACAGTCTCACAAAATTCAGCCAGGTTACACATGCTTAATCTTAAATTTAAATGTTTGCAGGACTCCATTGAGACATCATCCCATCCCCTAAAATGATTCCAGCAATTTAGTCTGTCCCTGTTAGGATGGATGTTCAGCTTTCGTTGTACAAAATTGATACTGCTATTTTATGGGAACCTGGAATTATGTTACTTCTCTAAATCAAGAGATCAGAATTTCACATAGTAAACTTAAGCAATAAGTTAACTCCACACAGAAAAATTACCTTAAGCAACCTAATTGCTGTCATCCAACAGGTCCTACTTTGCTCATCATCTGCACAGAGCTGTTTCAGGTCTCTGGTTCCTCCTGATTTGTTAGGCTAGAAGGCCACAGCACATTTTTTTTAGCATTAATGCATATCTTGAAGATAATACCTGTTGAAATAAAAGCCACTAATTCTCCTATTTTATAACAGACAGCTGAACATTGTTTTCAAAAACCTTAAAGAAACTTAAGCTTACCTAAAAACTGTGGCTTGCTTTAATATGTATCAGAATGATAAGCTTGTACCTTAAAGCAGAATCCATAGTTTGTTGGTGCTCCAGAAATCTTTTTGCCTGTCAAAGACATGTACATATCACTATTGCTGAATTCACAGAAAAACTGCAGATGCCTTGGCTCCTAAAAAGAAGAGCAATGTAATACAGTTAGACTATTTTTAGCTAGCCTCTCCAGATAAGAAACTCAGAGTAGCGTACTAGTTATTCTAACCCAAAATACAGTCATATCTCAGTTTTAACTGTGAAATTGTCTCAAGAAATCTAGAAAGAGGCAATGCAAAATTCACTTCCTCATGCAGAGGAAAAACACCTTATAAACTAGGCAGAGTTCACTCTTCCAGAGAGAGGGGGGGGAAAAAAAGTACAAGTGATATGATTTCTGGGAAAACATCCGTTACATTCAAGATACAGTAAAAGTAGTAGTCAGAAATTTTGAGTGCAGTATAGTTTTCAAGCATCAAAATAAAATATACTTTCAGAATTTGAATAAAATAAAATAAAATAAAATAAAATAAAATAAAATAAAATAAAATAAAAACACTGTAATAATTACTGTCCAGTAGTATTTCTAACCATTATCTCCATCCTCCGCAATGAATTAGGTCAAGGAAGAAAAATATATATATATGTTGAAGAATGAAAAAGCATCTCAATGAGTACTCTGGCATCTAACAGAAAACTCAAAAGAATGAAAAGCATGTGTTTACGTGGTTTACATAAAAGGTGTCTTATCTCTAATGTACCCTGTTTAACACAGTCAGGTTAAATACTGACAAAAATTTGAACTAGCAAAATGAAAAACAGTGACAGACTTCAAGAACTCTAAAAATCTTCCAATATAATCCTTTTATACATATGCTCTTGTATAATTTACATATTGAAGCATTGTGCCCATCTTTCAGAGCATATATTTCAAAATTTTAACAAATTTTAAAAGATACCCTGTTAACCAATTGAAAAAAAAATGTGAACCAGACTGAAGGAAAAGTTAACAGGCAAAAAAACAGCTAGTTTTTCCACATACAAGGCTTTCCCAATTTTATATCTCTATCTCTCTATATATTTTATCTACTATAAATGGAAATTCTTTTCCCTTGTCACTGTAAGATAAAATTCAAATTTCAGCTAATATTACAGCAAATAATAAATATGTATATATTTGTTCTAACTTTATAATTCTCTCCCTCTTCTTTATTGTTGTTGTTTGTTTGTTTTGCCTTACCTTAGATGTACCTTTAGTGGAAAAATAAAGACCGGATCTTCTCAAAAGAAAGAACAATTTTTTCCATGATTTTTTCCCCTGTTCCTTTGCATGCAAATAACCATGAATCTCAGGATATGTGCTGGAGCTTAGGAACATCTGAAAAAATATATCAGACACGCATTTTTCTTTTTATCTGAAACCACTTTTCTGTTTCATTAAGATATTCAGACAAGACTAAGGGGAATATACCCCTAAATTCACTATATCACAGTAGTTCAGTTATTGCATCTAATCCCATTAGAATACCTCTGTTTTAAGGCATACAGAACATTACATAACTCCAAGGTATGCAAGGCAAGTTACATATTTATATGAAACATATGGTTTGAAATGAGAGCATTAGTTATGCAATATGTTGACTTCAGCAACAAAAACAGTGTAAGAATTTCTGATCCCATGCCTCAGACCCTATTTTTATAAAACTGCAAATCAATGCTACCAACAGAAGGAAAAAATAAAAAATGTCATCTCGCCTTCCTCTGCCCATTACAAACCAGAAAAAGGAACGGATCTGAATTAAAATTCAATCAAACAAATCACAAAATCTAAATCACAAAATCACACAGGTCTGGAGAATATTGCAATTTTCAAAAGAGGAGGGAACAAAGGTCTCAGGACCTAAAGTAGTACTTAAGTGGGTGCTTCAGTTCAGTGGAGCAGAGAGGCTGGGCCAGCCACCAAGTATTTGCTGCCTGTGCTCAAGGTCATAAGGTAGAGCGTGTTTATCTGAATAAAGCTGCATTAGGAGCAAGGAAAAAGGCCTTTAAAGTCTCAGAATGATCAGCCATTTTGCCTCCAGAACCAAAAAAATAAGTTTGCACCCCCTCTACCCCCAAACCATAGGAAAGGCAGAATGATATAGATAGACAATGAAATTAACTGATGCACTGAGAGGAGCTAACTAATGCAATTCTCTTTGCTTTAGCCATTTCAACCAGAATTTATCAGAGTGCAACACAGCTGTTGTCTTGCTAAGACCAAGTACAGTTTTAGAGGACTGCAAAAGTACCTACTAAAATCTGCCAACTGTGTTAACTGCATTCTATGTCTATATAACATATTCATTTCTATTCCTCTTCTTTGAAGAAAACTACCCAGAACTATGACTCATATCTAAACATACTAACCTAGAATTCTTTAATTTCCATGCATGCAAAAGAATCTAAGTTACTACTAACCTCTTCAAAGAACCTTGCCCCAGACTGGCCTGCAGTACCTTAAAAACTATCTAGGCTCATATATGGTAGGGAAGAAGGGGTTTTCTTGCTGATTTCTGCAGTTTTCATTGCTTTGTTTTCCTCCTCTCTGCTGCCACTTCCAGAACATCTGAGCTGAGGACATGAAGCAACAGATTCCCAGGCAAGAGGCAGACTGGCTGGCACCGGACTGCAGCAAAATGATGAAGTGAATGTGATTTTGGAAGTATACCAACGTCTTTAGACACTAAATAATGGAGTCCAACCAAGATAAACAAGGTTACTTTCACTTTTATTGTTTTCCTACCTTGCAGTTGCTGCATGACAGCACCACATGTAGACTGTCCCAGGTTGATTAAATTCAGCTGTTACCAATGCAGTAATGAAGACAGGTTTCATTTGACAGGGGAGCACACAGAAAATCTAGCCCACAACTAAGAATGCATTAAGAGAGCTTTAGTGCTATTTAGTGCTATTACCTGAATAGTAAGTTACAGTAAGACCAGGTATACCATGTACCTGTACACCATTTGTACCACGTACAAATGCAGTTCAAGCTATTTCAGCCACAATGAAGCAGACAGGTCCTGGTAGCTGTTCCTGACGATCTTCCCATTTGCCACATATTAACAGGTTCACTGATGGTGAATATACAGCCTGCACTGAAAAGTACTTTTACAGCAAAACCAAAGTCAAATGGAAATTTGGGATAATCTAAGACAGTTGATGTATGTAAAACCCAAAAAGCATCTCTTTAGGCTGTATTCTCTCTGCCAAAAATGAAATGAGTGCCTGGCTCCTAGCCTGCACAAGCTCTTCCCCAGGACTCCCTAAGACCTTCCAACCAGAAGCACAATCATGAAAAACACATTTCTTTTCTTACTCAGCAGGCCAAAGTGAAGGAACAATACAAAGCTCAGCTTCAACAGCCACTGTTGTATCCACACTATCAATTCAACTAAAGTAGCAATGACTGTAGGAAAAAAAGCAATCCTAGAAAAATCTTTTCCCTTCTAAGACAACTGAGGACTGTGAGAGAAAATACAATATTTTGTATTTGTAAAGTCAAAACTATTAAATATTCCAAAGAATAAGCAGTAAAAAGATCTGCAAAGTGAATGTCTTTAATAAATATATAAAACTAAATAGAGTAGAAAAGTAAATTTTTGATTTTTCTTTTAATGGAAGTATGTGCAAGATTGAAGTTTAGTATGGGGGAAAAAGATCCCTGTTTATGCAGAGAAAAGGCAATCAAAATAGGACAAAAATAAGAAAAGTGCTTCATACAGGTGGAAGAACTGTGGAGAGTTAAATGATGATATGATGCAGACAGTGATTACTGATCACACAGTATGCAGAAATATGTTTGCACCCTCATGCAGTGAAATATACAACTTGATATGTAGGGTCTATCAAATGTCACCATGTCTTTCAGACATTAATATATGACAGCAACAAGAACCAGATTATGATATGATTTTCTGTAAAGTCAACCAACTTAAAACCAACTTGAACAACAACAAAAATTATTTTTTTTTTTGAGGAAGGGGAGTCAACAAGAAAAAAATGGAAGAGAAAGGACATTCCACATTCTCAGATGAATAGTAAAAGATTCAGAAATACTAGATGTCACTTGAACAAAATAAAGATTGAAAGCTACACAACTTATTTGTCTGTTTTCAGGTGCTGAAGGCATTCGTAATGCCTTCAACATTTTAAGTGAAGGAACAGCTATACAGGGGGAAAACGACAACATTTTTTGAGGTGAATGTTTCTTGAGCAGGTACACACAATTTTGAGATTTAAATTAGGGAATCTGTTGTTTTCCTAAGACTTTGTGAATTAAGTTTGAGTTTGATGACTCAGTCTTAAATCTACGAAGACAAGAAATGGGAACAATTAAGAGTATGGAGTAAGGAGGAGAAGATGGCAATGAAGAAAGGAATAAGAGGAAAGGGAAAAAAGGAAAGATTATATCAGTAATCCCATGTTTTCCCAAATTCTGAGCATTTGCCTTCATAATCTTGTTCTGTTTTTACCTTTCCATATACAACATTTATGCTTTATATTTGTTCAGGAAATACTAATGTTAATTTCTCTAATATATTCTACATTAGGTGAAAGGGTGTTTTTTTTTTTTCATTGCTATGGAAGATGGCTTGGACAGGTGCTATCTAAAATTTTCTAATGTACTCAGATTATACTTAAAAAGGTGTTAGAAAGAAGCCAAAGTGGTGAACACAAGATTTGAACTCTGAACTTCAAGTTTACCTACAGAACTGTGTTGATCACGTCTATTGAACAACCAAGATGGCATGGAATTTCTTACAGTAAAACCAGAAAAAAAAAAAGGTATAACAGCCCAAGTAACGTCTATTGTCTAAACTGAGGATGTCATTGTTGCATTTAAAGTGATTGACAACCTGCATAGTGGAAAAAAAAAACTGATCCAAATTAGACATTAAAAAAACTCCAAAATTGAAGAAATGTTATTTTCAGACAAAAAGAAAATGGAAGAAACCTAAGAAAAAAAAATAATCCTTTACAGTAATTGTAGAAGAAATTCTTTGACTCCAGTGAGGAGTTTACCTGCTAACTCAGAATGAGTCAGTCCTGTTAGCACGATGTTTTGCAGTCTATTCATTGGGAATACCATCTTAAATAAGAACATAAAAGGAGCTAAAGCATATATCAATTCATCCAAAATAAAAGTTACTCCAATAAACAGGCCACATTTTAAACAAGTCACAAGCCTCACTTTAAATTACATCCAGCAAGTTTCACATCTCATTAAACTAAGTGAGGAATTTGTTACCCACCTATGAGTTACTTTTTCACAAAAAATATAAATATATTTATAAATAATAGGTCATTTTATTGCTATGAGAAAGACCTCAGATTAAAATCTATATGCTACTGTGTATTTTTTAAGGCATCCAATTTGCAAAAATAACCTAAAGCAAGTTTCAAATGATCCATACTGACTACTACTAGACATGTGCATAGAATGTTGTGTATACATAAATATTTGGCATATTTCAGACCTTGTAATTTTACTTACACATGCGAAACAGAAAGGACAGATAAACTTTTTGCTTGTTTTTAAGACTACTTAGATGCTCTGATTTAAAGTCATCAGGCAGAAATACTTTTGCACTTTCATTGAAAGTCAAGAAAAGCATACTTGAAAAACATTTTACTTGCTTACAGGTCAATCCACAAAAAGCTATAAAAGTATCAGAAGTGATTTTTTAATCATTTGTAAGCATTGAGTTGTTAAAATTAATGTTTCTCTTGATACCTGACCAAGCACATCACAAATAATAACGCAAGCCCATTAACTTGTCTTAATGAAAGTTTCCAAGGAAACAGCAACACACTGTAAACAATCTACTGAATAGTTTCTGCTGAAACGTGTGTGGCAGCTGCAGAATCCAAGAGGGTATTCCATACTTTGTGTCCACTAAGTTTTATTATACCAAATACAATCAAACAGACAATAGAACATCAAATAGCAACAAAGTAGATTTCATAACATTTTTTCCAAGCTAAGAAAACTGGATTTAACATTATATATTTTGAATTATTCTTAATCTGACCCAGAAGCTTTCCCCGTGTTCCCCGTATCTTATATTCTATTCCCACGACAAAAGGAGAATCTATGCAAGGGTATACATGTATGGCAAACAGTTTCATTAAAAAAAATAAATAAATACTTAAACTATCAGAGTGTTTGCTAGCAAAATAAATTAAGTTTTAACAACAAAGGGGACAACATTTGATGACTAAATTAAATGCTTGCATTAAGCTGCATAATCTCTGCTAAAAGCATGTTTTGAAGCTAGGAAAAAAAATGATTTAGGTTTCTAAAAATGATACATAGAAACCATTATGTGTCAGTTACACTTAATTTGGAACCTTTTTTTTCTTTTTTTTAAACAAACATTTGAGGGTAATCGTAAGATCCTGACTAGCATCCCCTCTTATAATGTATCAATAAGGATATAACTACTTGATATGGAAGAACACTTTGAAATTTAGTTATTTAATGTCTTTCATTTTCTGGTGAATGTTAAGGTAGAATTTATTATATGAATACAGAAAAAAATATATTTTTTAATTTCCATATTACTTTTAGTTCTACCTTAAAATATCTTGTGTTATTATGTTGCCTTCCCAATCATTCTTTATCCCCAAAAACTCACACATCGGGTTGTTGTCTTAAGACCAGTGAAAGTTCTTCTATTAATTAAATTTCCTAGTGACAAGCAAACAAGAGTGATGTGTATGTTTCCACCTTTATTACTCATTTTTCCCCTCTTTGAGAAGTAAGATGATGATCCCTGATATGGTCATTCTGTGAAATTATTCCCACTGTAAATTAAAATCTTGTGTCCACTTAAAAGATGACTAACACTGAGTGACCTACCATTTTTTTTTGGAAGGCTACAGTAGCCTTCATGCTAACAAATCATACTAGTCAGTCTAAATTTTCTACTCATTAAGTTCAACAATTTAACTCTTTTTATATCTATTTCTATCACATTACCAGTTCCTCAGTATTCTACTGTTGTGCTGCTGCTAAGTATGGGCTAATTAATTCAGTGCTGCACTTTTTAAGGAAACAGTTTCACCTGAAATACTTGATACAGGCATTAACCACTTTTACTGCCTTTTTGGCCATTTTTGCACTTTTTGAATGTGCGATTTTCTAACAGTAGTCACGTAGTAACTGACTAGAAGGGATACTCCATATTTCATAAGAAATTAAACATTTTGAGTTACACAAAATCTACCAACAGATGTGACAGTGACAAAGTGCTGTGCTCACACAAATACAGACAATTGGGAATTCCACGCTTTATTGGCTCATCATCTTTCAAAGGTTACATACCTGTAATATCCCAGAGTGACTTATAGCTGCATTGGTCTCATTTGGAAAAGATAACATATGATCTGGGAAAAAGCTCTGCAATGACAATAATTTCTATCAAAGTTCTGTAAAAAGAATTATTAAACAACATATCTCTTTAGGATGTAGAAAAAGGATGTAATATCCTTCCTAAAATTGTAACATCCTATATCTTACTTGAAAAACATCAACAGGATCTGTAAGCATGAGGATTTCATACAGCAGTGCTAGTCATATTGCAACATGCTGAAAAATACATTGTTTTCTATTGTTTTCATTACAAAGGAAACTTGGTAAAATATTTCGTAACTTCCATTAATAGAGAACATGTACTTTCAGGTTTTTTGTTTGTTTTTCTGAATTGTCTATTCTGAATGATATAAATATGAATCAACACTAAAACATGACTACATCAATATCGAGTGGTTAAAAAGTCCACATTTAAAGTGTCAATTTTATTATCATGAAAAGCTCCAGGGGTGATTTATGGCACAGACCTGCAGCTGGTGAGTTCAATATAGTCATGACCGTACATGTATGAACCAACCAAGAGTTAAGTTTCCTCAAGGTCTGGGCAGTTTTGAAGCTAGTATTCCCTTACCACCCAATGTCCAATGACCTTCATTTTTAATAAAATTGTTAATAAAATTAATAAAATGTAAATAAAATTGGTAAGGTTGATTCATATTAACACATTTCTAATAAAGCATTCTTGCTACACCATTACCACAGTACCCAGAAGAATAACTCACCAGGAATGGTAAGGACTTTGATTAGGCACAGCTGTTGGAGCTATTCACAGCTGCATGCCTGCCATGCTCCACAGCTGGTTCCACTCACTAGATAACCAATACACATGCACTTACTTTTTGAAAGCTTCTCAAGCTCAGAATTTTTCACTAGTGCAGTAGTATCTCTAATGACAGGGGAATTTACAATTTGTCCAGAGAAACACATTTGGAACAGGAAAATGCCCTCAAATCTCTTACATCTTGTGATGTCTTAATATTTACCTTTTCATCCTTTTCACAGGTAGATAATTTGAGTTCCCTTCTACTTCTCACCTTTCAAGTCCTCATTCATTTCTGTTTCTCCCTTTGACATCTGAAACAAGCTGGCCTTGTAACAGATAGTATTAGGAGTGATCCAAATACACCATGCATGTGAGTAACCAGATGGTAATTTTCTCCTGCTGAGTCAGTACTGCTTCTATGGTCTTTGCCATTAGAAAAGTTCTGAATCAGCAGCGTTAACCTTTGGCAGCATCCTTGACTTACAAGTTGTCTCTGCTCCCTTTCCATTTCTTACATATGCTAACTTCGACTTCACTTTCACTTACTCCTAATAGGTTATGGCTGCCCATGGCCTTTCGTGTCAGTTGTCATTTAGCTGCAGCTCTGAGAAGCTGCCATTGGTCAGTGCTAGACCATAACATTCAATTTTCACTTTAGCAATAAAATCATCTTTGCTACAGATGCTTCTCCTTGTACTGCTTCATTTTATATTTTGTTGTCACTTAATGGAAACTTAACTTCAAATAATTCTCATTTTGTTATAGGTCAACATGTAAACTTCAAGAAAATTAAATCCATGTCTCTCTCCTATTCCCTCATCCTCACAAAAAAAAAAGGTAAGAACACTGATACTTTAAAATTTCAACAAAGTTACTGGCCACCATATACAAGCACTGTAATATATTTCTTGGTCCCATAAACTTCCTCCCAGTTATTCCTTTTGACTTGCATTACACTAACATCTTTACACTCTGCTTGAGTGTAACAAAAAAAGACTATTTTGCAGCACCAGCAAATGCACCACTTCACAGATATAACGCTATGACTTACCACAGGATTTTTGAAAAATTCATATTTGGCATAATATTTTCTAAAATAGAATTTGTTTTCCTCTTGCATTCCCCAGTTTGACTGAACTTCCATCACTAACTCATGGTCTTCTATAGCTCTTCCTGTAAAAACAACAAAAAACAGCACATAATCTGCACCTAAGAACATAAACAGTAAAACACGAAGATGTAGAGGTCAAATAATTAAAATTACTTATGTTACAAAACATTAAACAAGCAATCTGAGCACAGCCCATTAATCAGGTGCATGTTACACCAAGTTACTGTTCCACCCCAGTTGAAATGGGCTCAACTTTAATGTCTGAGGTAGTTCATGTAGCTTTGGTTTTTTTGTTTGGTTGCTTTTTTTAAACAGAGGCAGCTCTGTTACATGACCAAATCCATAGGCTCCATGCAACAGAAGCCACAGGCAGTTCCTGCCTTGTGATGCATGGCGCAGCAGGAAGCAGACCACCTCAACAACTCATCTCTACTCACCTTGCCTGGGGTGTCTGGAATGTCTTCCTGACACCCCCTTCTCTAATGAAGCATTCATAAATTGTAAGCCGTCCACAACATGGGAAAGCTGCCTTCTCCCCTGGACCCTGCTGTCTTTTGAAGCATTTCTCAAACTGCAGATGAACATAGGGCATTTCAGCGTTTTAACGCTTTTGCACAAGCCAGAGATACTGAGAACGTTAGCAGCTGTAGCACTAACATATGCAAAAGGAACAGTAAAAGCCATGAAAAACTAAAAACAAAACAAACCCAAAGCCTACAAAGTGAGTCCTAATGTGCAGATTGGTTTTGAAATAGGTAAAGGGGAAGGGAAGAAAAGACAAAGAACTCAATTATGGGGAATACAGCAGTGGAGGTCAGAATCTGTATTCTTACTACTTTATATTGCTTCTGCAGAATAGATTCTTGAAAGAACTTTTCAATTGCCAAGCAATATTAAATGCATTTATGGGAAAGAATTTAAGAATTTTCCTGTAGATGTGTTGTGCATGCTTAAGAAATGCATACTCTGAGTAATGCAGTAGGACTACTCATATGGCTGGTTTAAGATCCAAATATATGTCTCCCTGCCAATTATAGGGTTTTAACATCCAATCTTTATCATGCTGTCAAAGGGAAAATGCAATTAAAATATAATATAAAAAACATGTAACTCACACAATTTTCTGATCACATTTCCCAGACTTCACTGCATTATCATAAGGAATTTATGAAAAGAATATAAAGAATATAAGAATCTCTCAAACTTGAGACAATAAAAACCTCTTTAGAACAACAAAATCCTGATACGAATCTTCTTTTGACACCTCTTTCACCAGTCACTGCTTCATACTTCCACACTGAGAAGTCTGGTGGACAACAGCCTTATTGTAGCCTGCAAGTCTACAAGCTTCTTCAAGAAATTTCCAGCTAGCAAGTTTAGAAACAATACACTCATACAGCTAAATTTCATCCCAATATGAAAATATCAAGCTCATGACTAGCAGAAGACAAAGTGCTCATATGATCTACAGACCAGGTATTGGAATGTTAAACTTCTATTGGGTTTAACTGAGTTTTAAGCCCAAAAAGACAGAATGTAAAGATGCTTCATGAAATTTACATTTTGTTGTAAACAGATCAAATAATGCAAATAAAAAACAGAGTAATTCAGGAAACAGAAAATACCCCCAAAATACTGAAATAAAACCAGGTATTTTAGAGGTTTGGACAGATTGTTCTACTCCAAAATATACATTTGTCAGTTGCAGGGGGAGAGACACTAAAGAACTGAAGCTCTTACTCAAAAACAGCATTTTTTCTTCCTTTCAGAGAAAGCTCTCCTCTGGGATGACATTTAAACCTCTTGCAAGCTTGGCATTGTGACATTTAGGAAAATACCATTTCCTCAAGAGTTACTTCTTGGTACAAAGATAAGGTATTCTGCATCACCCCAATGGACGGGTAAGGATGTTGATACTTTATTTTTAAGGTGTCATATTAGAGAATCTTTTACAATTGATGCAACTTATTTTCTTGACGTAACTGAAGCACTCAGTTAGTATACCCCAGAACACAGTCCTGGAATCAAATTGTCGTGTGTTGCCATAAGAAAGCTGCACCTTGGTTTATTTAGAAAATTTTTTTTGTCTTCCAGCTAGACTCGAGAGTTCCCTCCTGCCTCTCTACACTCTCTTTATTACCGCTTTCTCTAAAATGCAGACCACCTGCTACAGCCCAAAACAAAATCTTCTTAACTATGGGAAGTACTTAGAGCACACGGAAAAAGATTTAATATTGGAAAGCATGACAGGCCACATTTTAAATAGCTTCCTCTCTAGCCACCCAGTGGGGAAAAATAAATAAATAAATAAATAAATAAAATAAAAAGCAGAAAGGCCCTTGCCTAACCCTGCTGCACAGATAGTGAGTGCTTTGTGTGATTACTCAGGCCAGGGCCACAAGCAGCCTTCCGACAGGCTGCCTGGAGGAATGCTGGCAGCGAACACAGGATGGGAGACTGAAACACAGCGAGGTGCCTGGCCCAGGGCCTCTCAAAGAGGAACCTCGGAAAATAAGCCTGTTGAGCTGAGGCGGCACACGGCACCTGAGAACAGCCGCGGATTTCTGTGGATTCAGCAGCTCGGGACTAAAGGACACCTGCGGGAGGCGCGCTGCCCCTCCCAGCACCGCTGCTGCTCCAAGCCAGGCCCCGATGCGGGGCAGGCCGGCGGTGCGCGGAGCGCGGGTGCCCCCCGGCGGCACAGCGGGGCCCGGCAGCGGCCGGGGGACAGCGCCCGGGGCCGGGGGACAGCGGGCAGCCCCTCACACTGCCGCTCGGGTCCGGGCAGCGCCGGCCCAGGCTCGGGAACGGGACGCGAACAGGCCTAGCGCCCGCCGGGCAGGGCAGTTAAGGCGGGTACAGGGCTGTGGGAAGGCCGGCCGTGGATACACGGACAGCGCGGCTCCGGGGTGCCTTTTGTTTCTTCTGTCTTTTTTAACCTTGGCAGGCAGACACACCTCGCACGGCAAGGAGGGCACGCTCCAATGATGTAATTAATGTCTGTCTTGATTAAAAGCAGAACGCTGTGCTCAGCTCACTGAGATTCATGCAATCATATGTAACTCAGTAGTATTCAGACAGCTGTTAGATATTAAAGAAAATGTTCACTAATTGATGAATGAATTATTAATCACCATCATACTGGAATTTACACAGACACGCGCTCACAGTGTTTCTCCTCTTGATACCCATTCATTTAGCTTGGAAGCAGAAAAAGACTGTCCAAATTTCCACAGATATGACATATGACAGTAACAGCAAACAGTCCAAAACAAAGTCAGCATTTGAAAAATGTTTGTTCATGCTATTCATCTAGTGCTTAAGAATATACTAAATGGAAGTCGAGATCAACCTTTCAATATCAAACCTTTCAAACAAAAAACTATCAAACAGTACCATAAAAAAAAAAAAATCAGTACTATAAAAAAGAAACAAAGATATCTCAAGTTACTCCTTTCTTTGACTATTTGACTAGTAACATTGAATTCCCATCCTCACGATCTAGGAAATAATTTTTGGAGATCAGCAATTCATTTTTTTCTAAAATTATACCCAAAGCAGCTGGACCACTCAGAAGACTGCATGGTGAATGCATGTCTTCTGACCAGCACACCAACCATTTCGAGAAATTCACAGTCATAGGAAAAGCAACTTCACTGATGATTTGATATGGAAATCTTCCACTAAACCCTTCAGACAGAAGCAAACACGCTATTTGATAAATAAACCAGGAGAAACACCACCACTATGATTCTGGCATAGTTTGTCAAAAGAGAATTCTTCAGTACTTATTACACTACTTAAACACCAGCCACACTATAAATTACAGAAAACACTTCTACTATTTATACAGTAGTCTTGTCTAAAGCCATTTTTATACCTCCTCTTCTGTAGCAGTCAGTCATTTACAGTCTCGACCCAGATTTAACTGTGACCTTACTCTGAGCTGGAAGCATCTTACAACTGATACATTCAGTGCAAAAGGTTATAAATACCTTTGAAATGTTACAAAGCAAGAAAACAACAAAAAAAAAAACTGAAAAACGTTTGTGGTTGTCTTCATAGGATAAAGGAGCAGAAAAGGGCAAAAAACAGTTCCAGCTTTTGTAGTTCATCCTGTATATATGGCTGTTAAACATAATACAGGTTGAGATTCACAGTCAAGTTCATTTTACATAAATGCACAAGTTTAGATCCCCTAGATACATAGTTAGAGATTTTTTTTTAATATCTTTTAAGCATATTTTTAACATTTATTTATGCATTTTTATTTTGAATAGTAAATACTGCAGTTACCAGGTAGCAGTACAATCTTCTTTGAAAATTAGGGCATCCAAGGAATTTTCTTTATATTTTAAAATGCAGGAAGCTCCCCATAAACTTCTGTCTCAAACAACACCTTGCACAAGTTAAAACTGACCTTGAGGTTGCAGAAGAGCTGTGGTAACTCCAGCGCAGTTGCAAAGTTTAAGAATAATATGGAAATTTTGAGTGATATGAAATTCAAAACATGTATTTTTATGTCATTAGTCTTGTTAGATTTTTTTGATGTAATTCCAAATCAAAAATAAACAAAATACTGAAAAGTAGTGCTGTAAAAGCAAGCATGGTTGTCTGATTAGAGTACCAATTTAATACTACACCCTCACCCAGGCTCACCCAAGCTTCTGAATGCATCTTTTGCTGAATGCAGGCTTTCCTGTGTTCCTTTGCAAACATCCCCCTTCTCCATGTATTTAACTTGTCTTAATGTGCTGCAAAATCATGTCTATACATTACAAAAAGGTATAGAGACCATAACTTAAAATTATAGTCATAATCTGAGACCACAAATCAGTTCTTTAAACTGCATAACTGTATAATACACATAGAGGTCTTATTTGCTTGCTTTTTGTTCTTTTTTTTTTCTTAGGGAAATGCTGATGGTGTGGAAGGAGTTTAAAGAGTTCTAGCCACTTAAAATACTAAGCATAAAAGCACTTCAATGCAAGTTCTTTGATTCATACCTGGAAGTTGAAAAGAGTAGGTTTGTTTCACTTTTTAATTGGTCTTGTCCCAACAACACACTAAATCTAGTCAAATTGATTGTATTGAAGGAAAATACTGATAGCCTACTCTGATGTTGTTTCTGAAGACTGAGTTCTGTTGTCCAGAAAGGACAGCACTGTGTAACCACTTTCTGTCCTTGATGTCAGAAATTTCACTCAGATGTGTTGGGGATAACAATGATTTTATTTGCAATGAAAATATCCCAATACTTGCTAGAGGTAAGCAAGAAATACCAATGGAAGAGGAAGAACTACCAAAGAAAAGCAAGGAAAAGAAAGGAAGAATTTGCAGAGAGAACCTTAATGGTCAGTGTCTTCCAAATCACTCTTCCAGGTACAGATGAAGCAGAACAAGACAAATGTATTGTGACAAAGTTTACTTTACTGGCATGCTAACAAAGAAATAAAAAATAAATACATAAAAAAGGAAAGGAAAGAAACAGAAACGATCCCTCCGAACAAATTCACACACACTCCCATCACTCCCATTACTTTATTTCTAAGTGTATTAGAGCTATACCTTTAAATGACAAAAATGAAAATACACCTTCTTTAATGCCATACTGTTGTATAGAATGTCTTACCTAAACCTGTGTGAGTAAGGTGCTCAAACAGAGTCCAGTTGTGGTCATCAATATAGTGGTTCTTCAATATCAACAGCTGACATACATCCCTGGCTGTTATATCAGTTGGGACTTCCAAAGCTTTGCTAGTATCATCTTCACTATAAACTTTAATTACCTGCAAGAAATAAAAGTGCTGAAATATCCATGAACTTAATATTCAGTTAATCCAAGTATGTTCTTTTCTCAGTGTCATTCACAACAGACCAGAACCTATAAACATAAGATGCAGTACTAAAGACATCTGATTCTCTCTAGTGCAGTTGAGTATGTAATTGTTATTGAGAACAAAACAGTTGAACAAAGTGTATTCACTACTAAATTTGATGACTGGACATCCCTTATCACAAGACACAATATAGACTGGTCTGTCTGCTTTAAAAAAAAAAAATATTGTAATGGATAAGTAAATAAACTGCACATTCTTATATAAGCTAAAGAAGAAATCACAGAGGATAAATGGTGAAACTAAAAGATTCTGTGAATGCAGAGCTGTAGAAAGAAGTCAGAGCTAGTTGAAGGAACAGCACTTGGATTCAAGATCATCACAATTCTGTAGGTAATACAAATAAGGGATGCTACAGAGCTACTTCAAGTTTTCACTGGCAAGAATTGGAGCTATGAGTTCTATTTATTTATTTATTTTAAAAAACACATATATACACATATACAGAAACAAAACCATCAATACAGGAAAGAGTTATCATCATATTAAGACCAGGAAAACAAAAAGTCCTGAAAGACCTACATGCAAAAAACAGAGCAAAGTAGACAATTTTTATTGTTTTATCTTGGTAGTTTTTCCAAGTTTTTATTCTCTTAAGGGTGTTTGGTGGGGTATTTGGAAGGAGGCAATACAAACTTTCATGACATGTCTTTGTCCTTTTAACTTTTAAATTTCATTAAAAATTCATATTTTTCAATATTGGTACACATTTTAGAGTCCTGAAGAATTGGGTACCCACTAAGTTCTTGAAGAGGTGCACCTTTGGCTACACCTGCTCATGCTTAGTTTCAAACCAAAAGAACAAGTCTTATTGCATACAGACTGCTGGAAAGAAGATGTCAATTTAGATATTTGTTTTATTTCTCTGCAGGAGAGTGAATCAGATTAATCAGCAAGTTGGATGGAATAGACACAATTCACTAGTGTCCTATTGTCAGAAACTTTGCACAGGAACTAATCCCATTTAAGTCACCAAAAAGGGTCATTTAAGTCACCAAAAAGGGTGTGGTTTTTTGTTGTTGTTGTTTTGTTTTTAAACAAAATGATTTTAAATTCTTCACAACAGTCCAGAAACTCAGTATTAGGTTGCGTTTTTTCCTTTTATTTCTGTTTAAAGAGTATTTTTTAAAAAATAAAGTAGACAAAACTCAAAAAATGAAAAATATTGAGGCTTCTGATATCAGGATCAACTCTTATTTGTTGTCATGTATATTGGAATAGTGACATAGTCCCTAAAACAATACAGATGTTCAAGATTTAATTATAAACACAAACATTCAGGTAAATATGTGAATTAAGAATAGAAGACTTGATATAACATTAAACATACCATTACCATTAATTACCACTGTAAATCCTTGATTAAACATCAAGACACAAGTTCTTTAAAGATGAACATGCGTGTGTATTCTGCTCTAGTGAGGCCACACCTCAAGTAACGTGTTTAGTTTTAGGCCCCTCACTACAAAAATGTCACCAAGGCCCTGGAACATGTACAGAGAAGGGCTATGAAGCTGGTGAAGGGCCAGGAACACAAGTCCTGTGAGGAGCAGCTGAGGGAACTGTCTGGAGAAGAGGAGGCTCAGGGGAGACCTTAGTGCTCTCTACAACTACCAGAAAGGAAGCTGTTGGGAGCTGGGAGTAGGCTTCTTCTCACACATAACTAGTGAGAGGACTAGAGGGAATGGCTTCAAGTTGTGCCAGGGGAGGTTTAGGTTGGAAATCAGGAGACATTTCTTCTCAGAAAGAGTAGTCAGGCATTGGAACAGGTTGTCAAGGGAAGTGGTGGAGTCACCATTCCCGGGGCTGTTTAAGGAAAGGTTGGACCTGATGCTGAAGGACACGGTTTAGTGGGTGACATTGGTAGTAGGTCTATGGTTGGACCACATAATCTTGAAAGTCTTTTCCAACCTTAATGATTCTATGATTATTTTAAGTCAGGCCTCTATTACTACCTTACTAAACTAATGCTCGTTTCAAGCATCTAAGGAACAATCAGCCACAGATTGTTGTCTCAACTTGTTACAGCGGCTCCTTCTCTGTTTTGTGCCAAAGTTGGTAGGCAAGTCAGCTGCGAGTTCCAACTGTACATCCTGGCACCTGCTTCCCTCCAACTAATGGCAGAAATCCAAAAATAAATTTAAAAATAATTTTAAAAGATCAGGCCATCTCACCCATGCTATCCTAACATCTGAACAAGAAGAGCAGACTCCATTTGAAAACCACTTACATATTAGAACACGCTGATGACCATACTCCTCTCAAAAAATAAATAAATAAATTTGCTTTTCTTTATGTAACTACAACAGTTCTGTTTCAAACTTTGTCCCAGCATATCAAATCAGCATGAAGTCCATGATGATTTGCTTTAATATTTCAGCTCATCATCTCTGCTCATCAATCAACATCCTCAAAGCAGCCTTCTAGAGAAAATAGGCAGGCCTCAGAGAAAGTTAATCCATGGTCTCCACGGGCCTAGCTACAGCAAAGTACTTACATGTAATAGAAAAGGCAAAAAGACTACATCAATATTAAATTAAGGATCAATACTGGCAAAACAACAATGGCAGATAGCTCTTGTTGGTTTTACAAGATTTATATGCTTTAGCAGCATTCCCACTGTTAAACAAGTTAGACTGGTAACAACAGTCTGCTGGCAGCATGGTCTTGTTCCATACACAACTTAAACCCTTACTCCAGTCACACACAAATGATGGTTTGCAGTTCAAGATAAACTGGCATGAAGTATTTAAATCCATTAAGTGTTTACAAGGATTCAAAGACAAAAATAAGAGCTGTCTGGCAGGGTACACTGTGAATGGGGTGGTGGGCTGTACAGTTGAGTAGACCTTACGACCTTAAGACATGTCCTATTCTGGGCAGTACTAAAGGGCAGACAGCTTCATTAGCCTCTGTGTCAGGCTATTCTAAAAAATTTTACAGTCTTAAGTGCCAGGAGAGTGACATTATGGGAGAGGGAAAGATACAGAGAAGATTAAAGTGACTTTCCTAACAATTCTCCACATGCTTCCAATAAAGCCAGGACAAGGATCCACATCAGCTAGGGACACTGTGAGCACAAACTAGTGCTAGTGACTACGGTTTTCTTCAGGTGCTCATCAAGTGAGGTGTTGTGCTTGTTTTACAGCAAGATCACGTACAGCCCATGTTGAGGCCCTTGATGGATGATTTTTAGAGAAACTCTTTTTAAAAGGGTTAAGAGTCGCAGTGCAGATGACTAGACTCTTATTGCTGAAGAAATAGGAAAAAGACATTTTAAAATGCTGAAGACAGCAACACAAGTCATGATAATGAGCTGCATGCAGCCATTCAACTTGGGGAGACGGAAGCCTTGGAGGTGGCCTTGGACTACAGCAGCACGACTAAAACAAAACAACACTACAACAACAGGAGAAAAAAAAAAAGTGTTTGTATTCTTAGAGTTCTCTCACCTGGCTTTCTCAGCATAGGGAAATAAATCCTGTGCAAGTCTAGGACAACTGATCACCCCAGCTCATAGCTATGACACGCTACTTTATAAAATACAAATGCTGTGCCCTTTCCTATTCCTTCCAAGAGATTCAAATACAGCAGGAGACAGCAGACAGGCAGTCACCTAACAGACCCTTCTGAACTTCTGTTACAGTCTTAGTTTAATGAATTGAATGTGATGGTGTAAATCTCATCAGTTAGTGTGACCTTTGAGGGGATTTTAATTAGAAAAAGTTGCTCTGTCCACACTTTCTGCTGTATGTTTGAAGCAACATCTAGCATAGGATTTGCTCTAAATGTATTTTTTTTCCATGGGGAGTGAAACAAAAAAAATCAAATCAGCTTTCCATTGTTTCATTGCAAATATGATGCAATAGATACCTTTCTTGCCAGAACTATAGGATGCTCTAAGACTTAAAGGGTGGCAGGATTATGCTAAAGAGCCAATTTTGTTGACCTCTTATAGGGATGAGAATGCTTGAGTAACCACTTCTTTACTTTTATTAGCAGTTACCGCTGTGCATTAGTCTGATCAGTCATCCTCTCTCTCATTTTTTCCCCTAAACTTTTTTCTCAAAAGTATCACACAGGAAAAGAGATGCTAGTTGAGAACAAGCTATCATTCATTTTCATTACCATATAGTCTCAAGCTTTGTCCTATAGCCAGCCATGTAATTTGCCTTGACTATATTTATTAGAAGACTGTTAGGAGAAAAAAAAAAAAAAAGAGTTGCCTCTGTTGTGCTCAAATCTTCTTTCCTGTCTAGTTCATGAATACACAGATTTTAGCTATTCCCAAGGCCAGAAGAAACATCTCAATAGCTTCCATTTAAGCCATCAGAAGTAAGAAATTAGCAGCTCCAAGATCTTCTTAAAAGAGGAAAGCACGAGACTAAGCAGGACAAGTATCAATCATTTTCATTGTCTATGGGACCTGGCAAGGAGGTACAGCTTACCTACCCATCCGCTTTCCTTTTCAATAGATTATAAAAATCAACCAAGATCCCACTTCACATTTATTCCTCCAAAAATTCTATTGCTAAGAAATGTTTCAAAATAAAATACATTATTGTTTCTATTTCACTCATCATCTTAACTCAGAATCAGTGTTGAAAAATGTAACAGGATTTAACAAAGAATAGAGAAAGGAGACACTATCAGAGTAGGAAATAATGAGAAGGAGAAAAAAAATTAGAAACTGCTTAAATAAAAGGGGTATAAGTAAAAGAGCATATAAGGTAATCAGTGTGGGAAGAGCAAGAGAAAGCTGGACTCGACTCTCTCAAGTCTCCTTCCACACTCAAACATCATCTACGCTACAATAATTAAATAATGTGTTCCATAGATTTTTAAGAGAGGGTGTCCAAGTCTCTGATTCTTCAGAATTTTCAAGCCATCTG